TGCTCTCTCCACTGCACTTTAGCCTGGGGCAACAGAGTGAGACCCTGTCTCAAAAGAATTTTTTTTTTTTTTAAAGAAAGTAGTTGAATGAACAGCCTTTTATAAGCACAGCACCTAGATTCCAGCATTGTGAGGACTTTGGATGTTGCTTTATTTATTTTTGTGTTTGTTGCAGCAATTCTGAGGCAAAAATAGGCATCACGACATGTCACTGCTAAATATTTTGTTTCTCTCTCTAAGAAGGCGCACATTTCCTACATAACAACAGTATCACGATCACACTTAACAAAATTGACAATTCTGGGCCAGGCACCGTGAGTCATGCCTGGAATCCCAGCACTTTTCGAGGCTGAGACAATAGGATCACTTGAGCCTAGGAATTCAAGACTAGCCTGGGCAATGTGGTGAGACCCCCTTCTCTAAAAACACCAAAAACACAATGGTTTTATAATGTCGTGTCAGACTCGTCCATACTGAAATGTGTCCCGTCCCCACAAAATGTCTTTACAATGGATTTGTTTGGATGATTCCCCCATCCATGGCCATGTGTGAGCCACTTCATCTCCAGTGGCTTCCTATGTCCCCCACGTTGTGAGTGAACCTCAGGGCCAGTTGACCTGTAATGGAAGCTTGAAGCCACGGGGGCCGGGGAAGATGAGGAGTACGGGGGCCCGGGAGGCGAGGCTTTGGTCTAGGTGATCAGGGACAGCCCCTTAGGAGGGGACATGGGGCTGAATCCTAAAGTCACAGAGCGCCAGAGCCTTGTGCAGTTCCAGCCGAGTGTGAGCCTGGCAGGGCTGAGGTGGGAGCTCACGTGACTGAGCTTGGCCCGAGGTGCGGTGAGCAGGGAAGGATGGTTAGAAGTTACGTCAGGGGATGCTGAATGAGGGAATGGACACGAGCCCCCCCAGGCCTGTGGCTGGCAGGGCCACAGCTGAGTCACTTCCTGGCCCGGCTGCAGGCCTTGCTCTGAGCCCTTTGTGGCATCAGATCCTCCATCCTCGAGGCAGCCCGTGGGAGCTGCGGCCACTCAGCCCCATGCAGGTCTGTCCCCTGCCCCGTGGCCGTGTGCACGGACTGGGGTGCAGCTGAGAATGGTTCCCACTCAGGTCCAGGGCCCGGGCGTCTGACCCTCAGCAGGGCCACAGAAGGGCCAAGCAGCTGCAAGCCAAGCTCAGAGCTGCAGCCCGGGACACCCGCACCCTCCACGGGGCGCCGAGGCCACGCTGGCTCCTGCAGGAAGGGCGGGATTCCCACAGGCCCAGCGGCGGGAAGGCTGGGTGCACGCTGGTGCCACAGAACATTCCGCCAGGAGGGCTGTGGTGTGAGAAGGGCAAAGGGAAGTGGCCCAGGCCTCACGGCCCGCAGCGGGAAAGGCAGGGGGAGCCAGCCAGGATGCCCACAGGTGTGAGGAGCAGGTGCACTGGGTGTGGTCGCCCAGACACAGCCTGGCCACTCCCGGGGCAGGAGTCCCCTCCCCACCTCAGAAGGCTGGGATCCGCCACCGCACCCTTCCCCAAGGCTGGACCACATCCAAAGTCCCTGCAGGGGCGGTACAGAAGGTGGGCAAGGGCCACTGCCAGGAGCCCCAGCTCTGTTAGGCCCATGCGTCAGCTCCCCCCAGCCTCCCTTTCCTGTGCAGATTCTCTGTGCCCCCCCAGCAATTAGTGAGGTCTCCCATTTCAGAGCCCACAGTCAGAACCCCCCGCCCCTCCTCAAAATCCTTCTGTTTTTTTTAGGTGAGATTCACATAATATAAAATTAACCATTTTAAGCACCCAACTCAGTGGCACCGAGCGCATTCAGTGTGTTTCACGATCACCACCTCCATCTAGTTCAAAATGCGCTGGAAGAGAAGCCTGTTAACTGTCGCCCCGCAGGCCCTGGCAGCCACTTTCCTTTCTGTTTCTGTGGATTAAGGTATTCTAGATATTTAACATCAACACAGCCACAGGGTGTGTGACCTGTGATCTTCCTTTTCCAAGGCTGCAGTGTATCAAAAAACAAAAATGTCTCCCTATGGTTATACAAATTGTTCCTTAGGAAAAAAAATTCAGCCGGGCGCCGTGGCTCACGCCTATAATCCCAGCACTTTGGGAGGCCGAGACAGGAGGATCACGAGGTCAGGAGATCAAGACTATCCTGCCTTTTTTTTTTCCCGTCTCGGAAAAAAGAAAAAAATTCACTGGAACCAAACCTCAGGTGCATCCCTCGGCTGGATGTAAATCCTGGTTCTTGGTGTGCTCTCCGCATCAGCCTGGGCTTCTTTTCCTTTTTTTTTTCTGTGTGACAGTCTCGCTGTGTCACCCAGGCTGGGGTGCAGTGGTACGATCTTGGCTCACTGCAACCTCCGCCTCCCGGGTTCAAGCGATTCTCCTGCCTCAGACTCCAGAGTAGCCGGGATTACAGGCCACCACACCTGGCTAATTTTTGTATTTTTGGTAGAGTCGGCATTTCACCATATTGATCAGGCTGTCTCAACTCCTGACCTCAGGGGATCGGCCCGCCTCAGCCTCCCAAAGTGCTGGGATTCCAGGCGCGAGCTACTGCACCCCACTGCCTGGACTTGTTTGATTTGTAGTATAATGAAAATCCGTGGGTTCAGCAGCCCACTCGATGTTAACCATGGCTGCCATCTATCTCTGTGCCTTCCAAACCCTCGATCCCTCCCCAGGCAGCCACTGTCTTGATTTGTGCTGCCGTCCCTTGCCTTCCTGTGTTGAAGGTTTAGCCCTAGGGACATGCCACACGTATCCATCACAGGTGCATCACAGTATCCTGTTTAGTTTTTGATTGTTTTTAACTTCGTAAAGAGGATGTCACACCCACTGCCATCTCCTGAGTTCACTTTTTCCCACTCAGCGTGATGTCACCTCGGAAGCATCCTGTGGGTGCAGGAAGCCGCCATCCGTTTATTTATTTATTTATTTACTGAGACGGAATCTTGTTCTGTCGCCAGGCTGGAGTACAGTGGCACGTTCTCAGCTCACTGCAACCTTCGCCTCCCAGATTCAAGCAATTCTCCTGACTCAGCCTCCTGAGTACCTGGGATTACAGGCACGCACCACCATGCCCGGCTAATTTTTGTATTTTTAGTAGAGACAGGGTTTCACCATGTTGGTCAAGCTGGTCTCATACTCCTGACCTCAAATGATCCACCCTCCTCAGCCTATCAAAGTGCTGGGATTACAGGCATGAGTCACCATGCCCGGCCGTGAGCCACCCCACCTGGCCCATGCATTTTTTTACTGCTGCATAATATTCCATTGCAGAAAAATATAACTGAGGGTTTGGATCTTTCCACTTTTTTTTTTTTTTTTTTTGAGACAGGGTCTCACTCTGTTGCCCAGGCTGGAGTGCAGCGGCAAGATCACAGCTCACTGCAGCCTCCACCTCCCAGACTCAAGTGATTCCCCCCATCTCAGCCTCCAGAGTAGCTAGGACTACAGACACACCCCCCACCATTCCTGGCTAGTTCTCTGTTTTGTGCAGGACAGGTTCTTGCCACATCGCCTAGGCTGGTCTCCAACTCCTGGGCTCAAACAATCCTCCCACCTCAGCCTCTCAAAGCACTGGGATTACAGGTGTCCATCACCACGCCCGCCTCTTTTCTAGTTTTTACTATTATGAATAGTACTGCTATGAATATCAAAATTGATGTTTGGTTTTTTTCTTTTTTTTAATTCTTTTTTTTGACAAGGTCTTACTCTGTCACCCAGACTGGAATGCAGTGGTGTGATCACAGCTCACTGCAGCCTCAACCTCCCAGGCTCAGGCGATCCTCCTGCCTCAGCCTCCCAAGTAGCTGGGACCACAGGGATACCACCACACTGGGCTAATTTTAAAATTATCTGTAGAGATGGGGTCTCCCTATGTTGTCCAGGATGATTTTGAACTCCTGGGCTCAGGTAATCCTGTCTTGACCTCCCAAAGTGCTGAAATTACAGATGTGAGCCACTGGGCCTGGTCATGATTTTTAAAGCTAACAATGAGGC